CGTCGCAAAATAATTCTTCATCATGATAATGCGAGCTCTCACACATCTCATCAAACAGTCGATTATTTGACCGGTCAAAAGATCGATTTAATGGGTCATCCGCCGTACAGTCCTGATTTGGTACCCAACGATTTCTTTTTATTCCCGAGCGTGAAGAATAAACTGCGTGGTCAACGATTTTCATCGCCCGAAGAAGCAGTTGATGCGTTCAAAACACACGTTTTGGAGATATCACTTTCGGAGTGGCATGAATGCTATGACAAATGGTTCAAGCGAATGCAAAAGTGTATTGATCATCATGGCGAATATTTTGAAAAACAATAAAACCATTTTCGATGAAACCCCATTGTCTTATATATGTTTTTGAAAAAACTTAAATAGTGACCCTCGTATTCGAAAAGATGGACCGTTTGCAATTTGATCTCAAACTAAATTGTGTTTTAATTCAAAAATTGCTTTTATTTAAATTGAAACTTTAAACGTGCCCTTATGAATAAATTGGATGCTAAATATAAACCTTTCCAACTTTTTGAGCGAAAATATCGGTTGCGTTTTTCACGCAAAAGTTTGTATTAGATTAAATTGAACTTGAATATGCGACCCCATTTATAAATCTAATATCAATTTAACGTGAAATTGTGTATATTACTTTGTAACTAGTTTCAGCCCAACCAACTTTACTACGGTGAAAGAAAGTAGCCAGTTGACCAAACTTTTTTATACTTATCAATTTTTCCACTCTTTCTAAATATTTCATTCTTAAAAAAATAAAATAAACAAAATTTAAAACAATTTAAACATTTTTCCAGAGTTACATAATTTTTTTTGTCGTGCTGAAATCATAACTTACCCGGTTTCTCTGTTCATTTGAGTTGATTACATGCTTAATGCTTGTACATGTTTGTGATAAAAGCAGTCATCTGGTATGTATGTGAATATGCGGCTAATGAATAATTATTAAGCGGATGCGTGGAGAAATGAGAAAAAAGTAATTTATTATGTTTTCCTCATTCATAGAATTTCTATGATAGAAATACTGTCATCCCTAGCAGCTTCGCTGTTTTTTACCATCGTTTGTGTTCCATAGGCTTGAATTTCATTTGTTTAGTAGAACAGGAAAACAAGCTGAATGCATTGTTTTTGGGGTTGTGTGTTGTAGACGCTTTTGGCTATTTTATTATCTTGAAATTATCAATATGCATTTCTGCTGCTCTCAACTCATCTCTAACACGTGTTGATTTCCATGTCACCCCCGATCTATTTCGCATTCATTTTCCATTTAAAAGAGACAGTAAATAACTGCAACGAATAGAAGCGAAATGCCATCAACGCCATGAAAACCTGACGTCTTGGTAGTTTACAGAACTGGTTACGGGCTCGTAATAATTTTTCATCGGAAATTTTCTCATCCTTTTGCAAAAAAAAATCTATTAAACAAATGATAAAATCCCTTCAAAGATCCTATTTTCATGCAAAAATAAAACCAAATTCATTTATGATTTCTTTTTTCAATTTTATGTAATCTAAGATGGAGCTTTATAAAAAATAGCGTTATCAATTTTTTGGCCAAAGAAACATATCCAAACAAGACACTTCTATGTCTGGACATATGAAATTAAATTTAATTGTATTTAGTTGGACTGCACATAAGTTGGGCAGCACTCAGTTTTTTTTCGATGTTCTCATAGAATTTAAATTTACTTTTGTTGTCAAAAACAACCACTTTCAAATCAAGTATTTCTTAAAAGCATTAGCAACCGGTGCTTTATCAATTACAAATTGAAATTACATATTATATTCGATGGAAGTTTTATTTTTTCGCCCCCTACTAAAATTGGAGAAATTTTGGCGCATGAGCAATGCATTTTTTACTCCTCCATTTTTGTATTTTATATGATCATAATTTACCAATAGATGTCACTCTTTGAAACATTCAAAATCATATAAGCTCATGAGCATTGTTGTTAGTCCAATTTTTTTTATATATATAAATACGTGTATTAAAGTATTTTAACAGACATTTTTTTGAAACAATCTTACCATTCCAATATTTTGATGAATATTTTGAAAGAATAAAAATGCATATATTTATTGGTATCTTTGTTTTAATTTTTTTTTGTCTCCCCTTTTTATTACATTTGCATTCATTTTCCTTTTTATCTTTTGTATTACTAACGTCTGGTGTTTTGCAGAATTGTACATTATTCTCTGCAAATTGATTTAAATACAGACCACAAATGGGACTGATTTAAAAAAAATTGCGTGTCTTTTTAAGTCTAAATATATTATTTAAACTGATCTATTCGGTATACATTGTTTTTCTTTGTGTTACCATCTTTATAATATATCTTATAACAATGGGCCTACGTACAAATTGGTAAATGGGAATGAATCGAAACTAAAATGTAAAATAAATGATATAATCCGAATTTTTGCAGTATAATTAACAGTATATTGACAAAAATAATCCGTTTGAAAACCAGTACGTAGGTAAAACCTAAAACCATTTTATTTCAGTTTATTGTTTTTATATAGGTTGATTTTGCTTTTAAATTAAAAATAAGAATAAAAAAACAGAAGAAATAAATTTATTCGAATTTTACTCAGCTTGCTTTAATTTGCAATCAATTGTATCTATAGTTTTTCGTTTAAATATTTCAAAATAATAATAATATAATAATAGTAAAATTATCGTTAATTAATTAATACAACGGAATAGAAGGGAAATGAATGAAAAAAGAATTGTATACACCATTCTAATTAAGTTAAATTCCTACAAATGAAAAAAAAAACTCTTCATCTGCTTAATTGTATTAAATCATTTCATTTTTGTTTTGTTGCCTAAGATCAATTGAATATAAATATGATTCAGGCATCATGGATTATCGTATTTTCCCTCTTATTTTGTTCGTGTTTAGTGCACTTCCCGCCGATGTAGTTGTCCACAAAATAATTTTGTTTTTTGTTTTGTTTTTTTTTTTTTGTTCTGCACATTTCAGCCTCCTTGCTAACTATTCATCAGTCGAATCATTTCATACATTTTCAGTACATCCTTAATTTTTATTATGATTCTAAATATTATATTTAACGCTTCGTATCAAATTAATGATTCAATCTAAATATAGCCAATTGTTATCTTTTTTCAACATGTGCACATCAATTGGGTTATTTATGAAACTATTTCTCATTTACTTGATTTATTCAAATGACGGGAAGTCATTGTTTTAATTCTTCTCCACAAAAATATATTTTGATATTGAATATAAAATTTACAATCCATTTTTTACTAAAAAAAATTTCTGCATTCCACAAAATTTATTTTCTCTTTTTTTATGTCTCTCTGTTGCGTATGGGTGAAAATGGCTTATATATTTGATTTTTTTTGTTTTTATTTATTTTTTTCTATCGCGTTTTTCATTCAGTGTGTTGTTTTGGTACGTATGTGCCGGGTGTTGGGTCAAATTAAAATTCGTGTTGTTAAGTGGCGATTTTGTGTTGTCAAAATTTAAATTAGCTATGCACAGAAATGAGAATGATGAGAAATCACCTTCCTAATTTCGACTCTATGGATTTGTCATATCTTTTCAAAATTTGCCGAATTAATTTTTCAATGAGATGGAAGCAGTTAACCTTTCAAATAACTTAATATGTTCGTCAATAAAATGTATGTGTATATATGTTTCTTTCACTTATGTTTCATTTTCTAATATGCCTTAGCATTTTTTTAAAACAAATTGAATCAAACATATATGATTTAATGAGGCGACACATTTTTAAGTGATGATTATGAGTGCTTCAATTTGAATCAATGTACGTGAGTTTTTTTGTTGAGTGATTTTTTTTCTTCTTCTAATTTTTGTAAATGTATTTCGCATTCGCACTATATCTAGTGTAGGTATTTTGTTTTCATTTGTTTGCTGGTTTGTTTAAATTAAGTTTAAAAAGGTGCGACGGACGTTACGCGACATCAAACAGAAAAAAAATATTTATATATTCATGGTGTATATTAGACGTTAATGCAAAAATAGAACTAAATATAAAATAAATTTCATTCCTCTGTAATTTTACATTTCTTTGTTCCTGGTTCACTAGCTTCGGTAGCGGCTATTTGTGATTCAGAACATTCACAGTCTAACGATCTATAGAGATAAAATTTGGAAAAAAAAACAAAATTGATATATGTTCAACGTATCATAATATTTAATTGTTTTTTCAAACCTTTTATTGCTGCTTGCTTGTGAATCACTATCCTCGTTGGGAGTAACTGGTTTCTCCGAGCTGCTATCATCAGATCGTGAGCTATCGTCAATCACATTATTCACTCCTGCGATAGTTTTTCGATTAATATACGAAATATTTTCAAAAAACAAATGACAGAGATTTTTAAAGATCATTACCATTTTTATTGTTGCCATTTGCTGATACAACTTGAACCAATTCTTCATTGGAGTGTTCGAAATGTGCAAATCGGCTATTCTCATCCGATTGTTGAGTGGTTGTCGACGTAACAGTGTTGCTTCCATTCAACTGAGTAACACTATCTTGGCTACTGCCACCCAATGTTGTCAACACTGTGCTATCATCTGTGCTGGCTGCTTCATAAAATTAAAATTTCAATTTCAATTAATCAGAAAAAAAAAAAATGAAATTATTATATCCAAAAGAAATATTCACCTGAGATACAATTTTGTTCCGATTTCAATTCACCGTCGGTTGTTGTTTCGTCTTCATCTTTCGAAGAGCTCACCATATCGGTACTATTTTCATCGGCCGTTATTTCCGCATCATCGCCCGTAGCTATGTTGATCGCATCATCTTCATCGTTGCCAGTTGCAGTTGTCTCCAGTTCAGTTGATCCACTATTGATTGAATTTGATACTGGAATTCGATCGAGTAGTTCCGGCTTTAATTGCACGGCAACAAAATGTGTCCACAGAGCCAATTCAACTCTACAAAATTATAAATAACATAATTAGTTGCATGTTGCATAAATCATATATTTTCAAATTTTTGAAACGATTCTCACTGATGCGCTGTCCACTGTGAATTATTGTTGTCCTTCTCAGAATTCAATCGAGCTACGGCAGCTTGAATATGTTGCACAAATTTCAAGTATTCTTTTGTTGTATAATCTATGCTATCGATTTCTGGTATAGCCATCAAACCTATAAAAGAATAAAATCCATTATAATTCTCTTAAAATTTATTCAAGGAAAAAAAATCGAAAGTCAAATAATTCAACAAACTAACATTCATCAGCCATAAATGGTGCGCTATCGGGAGCAGCAGCCGCTAAAAGAGCGGATGCCATTGTGATACCGACTCCCTTTAAATTTGAAAGCGCTGTTAGGGCTTGTTCTAGATTTGGTAATTTACGAAATGCTTTTTTGGTTTCCTGCATAACGGCGCGCGGTGTATTTACTTTAATCAAATAAGAAAGTTGCGGATAGAATTTGCCACGCTGAACGACCAGACACCAATAAATACCAATTACATAAAAAAAGAAGAGAAAATCAAATGTATTGGCCATATCATATTAAATATAAAAAAAAGTAAGGCATTGTCCATACATACCGATTGTTTCCATTTCATTGCCTGTACTAATTCCTCATGAACCAGATGCGCATTTTTGCCACGTTGCTTTATCCTTTCGGGCAGTTCATTTTGATACCTTTGAACAAAAAACATTTACACATGAAATTTTTGGATAGAAAAATTCTTCTATTTTCTTTTTAACGCAAACGTATTTTTTTTAATGTTTATTTAAATTTTTAAATTCAAAGTGAAAATATTTACCAATCATCTAATCTTATAAGTTCTTCAGGTTTTTTGCAGCGCGTGAGTGCTTTAAGTTTCAGCACATCCGGATACAGTTTTAATACATAGTCAAATTGTTTGGAGTTGCCGTGTGCAAAGAATGAACCGGTATCCTTTTTAACGGAAGAAGTCATCTTTATTTGTCAATTTATTCGATTAATGTTCCAAGGATACAAATACCCCGTGCCGAAGGTCACCGTTAAAAACCAAATAAGATTTCGTATTTATTTATCTTAGAATTCTCTGGTCAAAATAGTGACTATTTTTGTGATGTTTGTTTGTAGATGACTCTCACAGATGTTCAAATAAAATCAAGAAAAATCTTTATCGTAATCTTGAAATACTTCAGTGTTTAAAATGTTTCACCTCGGCTTTCTTCATTCAAATGGTATGAACAATGTTCTGTTGAATAAAAGAAAAAAAAGAAAGTAATTATTAGTTTTAATTTGGAGTTTATGAAAAATATTTACAACCGCCAGAATAAAAAGACAATATATTTCTAAAAATTGATTGACATTTTTTTTGTTTTGTTATTCTTCTTACAAATTAACCACTGCACTGGATTATATGAAAACAAGGACATATCGTTCGAACCATCAAAATATAAAAAAAAATTATATTTTTTATTTAAAATTGTTTAAAAAGTAGAAAACTGTGCTAGCAACAAGAATATGCCATCATAAATTTACAATCAATGTATACCATTGTATATGTATGCTATATACAAAAAAAATCACCACATTCACAATGAAAATATTCGATTAGTGAACACATGAAATTTCTACTCAATTCAAAAAGAAAATTTATGCTCAAATCAAATGAAGAAAAATACACACGGCAATAACAAATGACAACGGAAAATATGCAGTCAACGATGAAAAAAATTCGAAACAAATTCTAAAAGGAGAAAACAACTGGGTATATTCCGAACGTATTTGATTCGAAGTGAACGTATGAAAGTCATGAAGTCTGTGCTACATTAAGGCAAACTATTACTTGAGTTTGAACGAACGAGCGCGTTCATTTCGGATGTCGTTTGTATGTATTGTGAGTTAACGTTGTGTGAGTATGTCGATTTGTTGTATGTGCCATTCAAAGTATTGGAGTAGAGCTGTGGTGATGACGATAGCTGTAGTTCAATCTCTTGCCAAGTAAACGAAGATATGGAGAAAAGAAACAACGAACGAACAAATGAATGAGCGAGCGACCGACCGACCGACCAAACAAAAAAATCATAGCACATAGCATATGTACGTTTATGTATTGGAGTATCTTTATTCATCTCATTCCGTGAAAACTGGCTGAAAGCTAGAATACACAATAAATCGACCGTACTACCACATCAATGTGTATATTGTGCGCACATACACATCTATCTGACGCGTTGTGTTTGCTGCTTCATATAGTGTACGAAATACTGTTATATTGCTTTACCAAAGCAATCATAGAATTCACACACAGTCTCTCAATGCTTTTTTACATTCATTTTTGGTTGCTTATTTATTTCTGATTCTTCTGCTGCTTTCGACATATTTCTTTGGACATAGTTTGAATTGAAAAAGAACAGAGAAACAGAAAAGAAATGTTTTTTTTTGGTAGAAATTCGTTTATATTTCCCTTTCTTGCATTTAAGAAATCAATATAAAAAAAATAAATAAGCAAATGAAAGTGCATACCATGCATTCAAAATTCATTGGAATGACACGAAATCAATTATGAATTGAGGTTGCAGAAAATAAATTAAAAGCGATCGTATGCGACAAACGGTAAAATTTAAGGGTAGACAAGGTACATTTTCACAGATCCACTGTGCTGTTCGACTTATTTTTTTACAATGAATAGAAGATTTTCGAAAAACGAAACAATTTATGGATTTTTCTTTGCTTTCACTAGTTCATATGTGTCTGGATATGTGCGGTGTGTTTATTCACATGCATTAAATAAAGTAAGTGATCGCCGTCGATCATGCCTCAGAACCAAAATTTTTAAATTTCTTTTTGCATTCATTTGAATTTGAAATTTGACGTGCGCAAATCGGTAGACTAATGCGGCAGGTCCGTCACTCTCAATTTTTCTCCGCTTGTCTTGTTCACGCTTTCTGCGTTGATTTAGTCCTAATTTTTTTATGCTTCTGTGTATATTATTTGCTTATTGCAATTTCAGAGGATAAAAATAAAACGTTAAAGGAAGACACGTCGTTTTTGGATGCTTGATGTGTATTGACAGTTGTTTACGATTCGGATTCGCAAACGAACGGAAGAACGATTCGATTTCGCTTGTGCTCCTCAGTTCCTTTCATTAATAAGAAAACTATTGTTTCTTTTTTTTATTGGTTTGGTTTCATTAATACTGAAATATTGAGCGGTGTTATAAACTAGCATCAACGATGAAAAATAATACGGTATCCGAAAATCTTGAACCAATTCGAAGAAAAACAACGTTTAAAATAAACGAAATGACTAAATTAAAATGCGAAAGCAGCTTTAAATATTTTGAAGCAACAAAAACAAATTTAGCTTCAATAACAATGGAAAAATTCAAGCGTTGAACGTGCATATATTGAAATGTCTGAGGGTTTTATTTTAATGAAAAACATGGCACAACGAATGGCAAAAAAGCAACAGAGGCAAACATTTGTGCGCACCAAACGACGTACAAAGACACAGGCGCAAACAAACACATTCATTATTGGCAGACAGGGTCATATTCATAGCCGAGTGAGAGAAAAATTACTACTGTTATATGTATATAGAGGTTTTTGTATGGGGACCCATTACGAAGAGATGAACGAACGAACGAACGAACGAACGTTACTATGAATCAGCAATAGCAGCACTGCGATACTGACGCATTGGCTAAAACCCAACGAGCAACTTATGTCATAAGCAAACAAAAACTTATATACTTGAAATATTCCCTCATGCCATGGTGATGTTAATGTTTGGAGGGTCGGTCGATTGAAACGATGGTGATCTTTCATTTTATTTTATTTTTTCATTCTTCATTCTACAGTTTTCGGTTTCGTGCTGATTATACGATAACGGAAAAATAATTCCGAACAGATGGCAATACTGTGCATGATGAATACAATCACAATTGAATGAATTCATGTTTCAGTGACTACACTAATCGTAAAGTAATATCAAGATTTTTTTTAACGCTCTTGATTGGCGCCATCTATATAAATGCAATGCTTAAAATGCATTTCAAATTGATTGTATCGATTGTAGTAGATTTATTTATTGTTCCAGATATTTTTTGGGTTATTAAATATGACAAATTGAATTTGGAACATTTTTGAATTTCAGTTTTTTCAGCAAATGCATTAGAAAAAGAATTGAAAAATATTTTCAATTAGAGAGAATCGTATACGCAAGATTAATTTAAATCGTGTATTAATCATTACAGTCACGAGTAGAGAAAATCTGTAATCATAAAGTACGGTCGAAGCAGAGATACGACAGTACGTTTGTATTGGGATTCGAACCAAATGAACAAAGCCAGCAAAAGCATACACACAAATATAGCTCATAATACAGCATAGTGAGCAAGAGAAAGAGAAACTGAAATATACGAAACAACATTGCTCAATAACTAATGTGACGAACGGACGCTTTCGCATAAAGAAAATGTGAACGAGTGAACGGCAATTTTATTATGGGTAACGAATTTTTGTAATCATGATTTCACGCGGTTCATGTCTTCAAAAACTGTTGTCGTCGTTTTTACATTGATTTTTTTTAACGTTTTTCGCAGCACTCGTCACTTAGCAAGCGAAATCGATGCGGCGAGCGGTGGGAATTGTAGAAATGCCAATGAAATGTATGTATACAGCTAGGGGCAAACTACTATTACAACGTAATTCATTTAATACATAAATAATTCCATTCAATTCAATATAATTCTATGTCAATTCAATTTAGTTCCAAGTAATTCGCACTGATCTAGTATGCTGTTTTTGTATGCCATGTTCTGTGTGCTATCACAAAAGTACAAAAATCAATTTTAACTGATTTAAAGATGAAAAATTACAATTTCGGAAGATAATCAATAACATTTAAATATGGTTTGTATTTAAAATCACATTTTTTTTGTATTTCTCCAAACGGATTATTCACAAATCTGATTTGTCACGATGGCTGTTTTCGAAACTACTGTCATATTCCATACATTTGCTCACTCATTCAAGCAATCATGTACACAGACATAAAAAAATGTGTGTTTTCAGTAGTAGCGCTGCTATATGACTGTTCTCTTGACAATTTGTGCAGGACTAGAACATTATGAATTAGTTGGAACTAAATTGTATTGACATAGAATTATATTGAATTGAATTGAATTTTTTATGTACTAGATGAATTACGTTCTTGTAGTAATTTGCCCCTTGGTATACAGTCATGGTATACATATACATGCATCACATTTATGGATACTATGGTTGTATGAGTGTGACTCATAGATAAATAAGCTTAATATAATATAGATTGAAATAACAACGAAACACAGCATAGTATATAAGTAGCAGAAGCACAGGCAAAAACAGTAAATTATACAGAAAACGTCTTAAAGGCAACAGAGTGTCAGCACACATACAATATGTACAAGCTGTGTGTGGTAAGAAAACGTAAAGGAAAATATAGAAAATTATCTCTCGAACTCTGCACAAATTGATGGAATTCAATTTGGACGCTGTGTTCAAATTGCGAATGTACTAGATTAGATTTGAGAGACAATGGGATATGAAATAATACCCAAACAACAAAAACAATAATAATATAGATCATCTATGATATATCTATCCATATATATTCAATTTTTTTCTCGTTTTTTTTGTCTCTCCGTTTGACGAATCGTTTTTCTCATTTTAAATTATAGAAGATAAATTTAAATCCCGTATTAATTATTCTTATTAATCGTAATTTAAAATGATTCTGTCTGATAAATTCAAAACTTTCAAATTAAATAATTTGAAGTGCACTTACTTTTTCAGAAAACGAAGTTTATATTCTTGAAATTACACATTAATTCAATAATATATTACATTAAAAATTGAAAATAAAACGACAAAGCATTGAAAAATCGTTTTTCAACTTTTAAATTTTGAAAATGTAAAAAATATATATATTTTGTTTGACGTTTACCGAAAACGATCGTACTAAATGAAAAACTGTACTAGAAACTAACTGACTAAAGCCAACAAAGTGCTGCTGCCTCATTTCTGTATAAAGCAAAATAAATTTCTATTTATTACACAGTACACACACCCGATTCAACAGTATATACCCACGTAGAAACAACATTTGCTTTTCGATGAACGAAGCAAGAGACTTGAACTAATGAAAATAACGTACAAAAAACCCACTATGTACGGGTTTGGTTATGTATTATATACATGCTCTGTTAGTACGAATAAGGAACAGCGATAAACGAATATACAAAGAGAGAGAGAGAGAGAGAGAGAGAGAGAGAGAGAGAGAGCGTAATCGTTAAGAGCCACACTCGGCAGTTTGCTTGTTTGCCAGTGTAGAATGAGTCTGCTTGAAAAGCGAACAAGCGATAGCCCGTTCTTGCCTGCTTGCATTTTTATTTGAATTTAATGAGAGTTTCTCTCCTCACTTAGTCGAGAATTTCTTAGTATGTACTTTCGGATTGTCTGTATGCCATTGGATCGCTCAACATCGTTCAAATCAACCGAAATATTGAACGATGGTCCAAATTTTGAGCCAAACAAATGTTTGACAACTAGAAAGGCTCTTAATTGAAACGAACAAAAAATAAAGATTACATTTAGTAAACATGTCAAAGTCTATCATGGGATCAAATTTTGCCTTCATTTTGCCACCGAGGATAGCTAAGTTTCGAATGGAATGAAAGATTCCGCATAAGACATTACCAACTATAAGCTACTGTACACAAGCACAACCATAGCGCACTACTGCATTGACACATGTTCTCTGTCGCCATCGTTCTAAGCAATGGCATTAAATAAGACCGACTGAGAAAGTAGCACTGGAACGAAACCATTTAAAAACTAAATTTGTGGTAGATATAGCATTGTGAAAAGTTTTGTTCATGGCTGCTTGGATGTTTGGCTGGCTAGTGGCACGATTTATATTGAAGACGATGTAAGTGTGGTTATGTATATACATTAAACCTTTTTTCATTCGATAAAATGTATGTATATGTGGCTCAATTTTGCTAGTGGCAGTACAGATGTCATGTAGACATTCGCATTAACATCATAAATGCGCTCACCCATAACAAGAAAAAAATACAGGTAACACGAACTCACTTGTACCCAGCTCAACCATATACATCAAATATCGATAGAATATTGTGTTTCTCGAAAATATTTTGATACCAGAATTTTGATTTTTTATGAAGGTATCCATTGGAGCACCAATTAAATTCGAAAAATTGTCCATTTGCATTGCACCATTCATATTATTTCACACCAATATCACACCGATATGTTTAACTTTTTTTAATATGATTCAATGACGTTTTAAAGCAATTAACGCAAATAGAATATATATATATCGAATAAAGCCGCGTTTGCGTTAACTTCACCTAATTATTTTTTATTTGGTATTGGTATTGTTTATGTTATTTCTCAGTCCACATCAAATATTATCTGCGAAAATATTTGAGTTGCATTGAATGAGGATTTTTTTAAACGTATCATTGTTTGTGTGAAGAAACAATATTTGAACCTTTAAATATTCCAGCAAATGCCGGTAAGATATTGACATCTAGATATGGTTTTTGGAAGTCATGACAGTAAAATGCATAACAAAAATCATGACAGAAACAACCGATTTTTTATTATTTGCGTTAATGTTTGTATGTTCTTTAAGCTCATTTAGCTCTATAGCCATGAATGTCTATATTTGGTTTCAATTTATTTATAAATTATGAATGAACAGACGCGAGTTCGATACTTTATTCAATTAATTTTTTTGAAAAATGCATTCAATATGTTTGCATCTCAATCCGGCCTCTTCAAAATTGAAAAAAAAAAACTTGAATCAGTTGCATACCATGCATATATCTTTCTATTTATTATTGAAAATAATTTGGTTTCGTTTGTTCTATTAATATTCAATTCTCGCCTATGGATATGCCAACTGTATATCATACATCTGACAGGAGATGTAACGAGTAATATTTAAAAATGAAGTCGCTCATGAAATACAGATATGGTAAAATCGGATACTTTCTCTAATCGGACATCGAAAATATTTATAACATATTAAAGAAGTGTTAGCCTCCAATAATGATTAATACCGCAAAAACTCCCAGAACTTTGTTTAAAAATTATATCATTCAAAAAATTCTTCTGACTGGCCTTTTTTTATTCTTAATTTTATTATTCCATAAACAATGCCGGAAACCGAATAATCTGTTCAAGCCAATGAAATAATTCAGAAAATAGCACCAAAATCGTTAAGAAAAACTATACCAATTTTAATTGAAATCATTACAAACTTATGGCTTCTTAAACGCTAAATAATTCATTTGATTGAAAGCAAAGCAAAAAGGGAAGAAAGCAACAACATTCAGTTAGTTGACATGCCCGAAAACAATAACATCAATCGGTTCTTTTTGTGTTGATTAAGAAATGTGGAAAGCGTCGAATGGTGCAAGAGGGAAAGAGAAAAAGGAACTTTTCGTACAGAAAATACAACTGTCATTCGACATTCATGTTTGACATATTTCCATGTGCATATGCGACTTTTTAAAAGTGGTTTGAGCAATTATCGAAACTTCAATTATACGATTTGAATCTAAAAATTTCAAAGAAAAAACTCGAACTCTTAATAAATTAAAAACAAAATCTATGATACAAGTAGTTCTCTAATTGTTTGCAATGATAAAATGTCTACAAATAAAAATTTACTAGTTTATGAAAATCATCAACCGTTTGTTGTATTTACTAATAACAAAAAATCAAATAAAATTATCTGAATAATAGATTTTTTGAGATTATTGAAGTTTGCAGTCATTACAAAAACAAAAATCACTTTATAATCAAACTTGATCTGCAATTTTACCTTTGATATACTATTTCGGTAAAAAAAATATTTATTTTCGTATCTTTTGTTGTCGGTAAACTGAAATCACACAAGTGAGAGAAAAAGAACACAATTTCCAAATGGTTTTCTTAATTCCTTTCAGTTTTTAATTGTTTTTCTTTTTCGGGGTAGATGTTTCAAATCTTGTTGTTTTATTGAATGAACTGTCTGTAGGTTTGTTGCAACGTGAACGACGTGCTGTAATCAAAATTTGGCTCGGCAAAAAATGCTGAATAAACTTTACAAAAACAAATTTAAAACACAGAAAAACACATACACTGCGATTTATATATTTTTTTTTATTTTTTCATATATTTATTTATTTATTGTAAGTAATTTCGTTTTTTGTTTTTTTTATCGCGTTCAGTTCGGAATGATGGTTGAGTTATGACTATTACTGACTTATTGTATTTCAAATACTCACAATGAATCTGTTCTGTATACAACAATATGGATGCCTCGTTCACACATCGACATGAACATTTGCGTTTGCGTGTATGAAGCGGTATTGCGGCAGAATGTGCAATTATATGTGTGCGTGTGTCTGTGTGAACTGTATGTATGTAAGGAAAAATGATCAAATCAGACGAATGAGAATATATATATATATATATATATATATATATATATATAATTGTGCATAGTAAATTCAAAACGAATTTTTGTACTGTGTATGTATTAGTTTTACAATATTTACAGAGAATGTAATTTGTATACTAAATTGACATTCAATAGGTCGTAGAGGAAGCCGTAAGTGTTTGACTTTGCATGATTTGTTTCATCAAAGAAAAAAAACTCCTGTTCATCTTGTACTTCGAAATAAAAGTTTGTTAATTTACAATTTTGATGAAAAATATTCATGGTATTAAAATATCAATGGTATTCAGTTACAAACAGTTTTCGTGCGGCACTAATATAAAGCGTCTATGCTACGTGTATGCATGTGTGCGTTTGTAACCGTGTTATAGTATGTGAATAGAAAATTTGGTTACCTATGTATATGCCTTTTATATAGAGTTTTAATACGTACTGTGTGTATAGTATGAACTCTTTTTTTATAATTTTGCCAGCTTATAATACTTACGCTAAGTTCGTTTTCCATTTGAATCGATGAACATTAGTTTTGATTCAAGTATTGAATTGAAATACTAGACGAACAGCAGATTGAACAGAAAACGCACATTACATGCATGACAGAGGTAAAACGATGCAGACGGATGTGCAATGTAAAACGTCTGTCAAATGAAACCATACAATATATCTCCTGATGTTAATGTTTCGCCTGCAATGCTGCTTGCCATAGACACACTAGCTAACGAATCATATTTTTACTTTAAAAAAATATATGATGCATTGATGTAAACTTAATTATGTTTACGTACACAATTTAAATTGATCGTTATTAGTTGAAAATATGATTTGTTCTCAGGTCCACATCATATATTTTCATGATCGGTATTTGAATGTTTTGAAGTGTATTTTATTGAAAACGATTTTTTTTTTAAGTCAACTCCAGTCAACTCACATATTTTGTTATTGATATCCATTAAATACGAGAGATCGAAGCGCGCGAGTTTGGAGATTCTTCGTTGAACCCAGTTTAGTATATCTGAGATGTTGACTAAATTTATTTGATTCTCATTTAATCACATCATTTCATTTTAATAAAACACGCATTTATTCGCTTTTTTGTGTATATTTTCAATTTGCCAACAATGTTAGGAGATAAATTATATTTTGGAATAAATGCGGAAAGATATTCTAAAAAAATTTGAAGATTCTATTCTTCCTTTGGTTTGATCCAAAATTTTACTTTGGTGAATGTGTGATGGTCGCCAAAAGTAAAACCAAGCT